GATGCCGCAGTGGCAACAACAAATTCGATGCCGCAGTGGCAACAACAAATTCGATGCCGCAGTGGCAAAAACTACTTCGAAGCCGCAGTGGCAAAAACTACTTCTAAGCCGCTATGGCAACAACAACTTCGATGCCGCCGCGGCAAAAACTACTTCCATCCCGCTGTAGCTAGAAAAAAATTCGATGCCGCTCTGGCAACAACTTCGATGCTGCTGTGGTAACGAAAGCTTCGACGCCGCTGTGGCAACAAAAACTTTGATGCTGCTGAGGCAACAAAAACTTTGATGCCGCTCTGGCAACAACTTCAATGCTGCCGTGGCAATGAAAGCTGCGATGCCGCAGTGGCAACAAATTCGATGCCACCGAGGCGAAAACAATCCTGAAATTGCTCCTGTGTCAAGGACCCCGATGATGCTGATAGGTAACAACATCTGGGATGTCGTTGCTGTTACAACAATCCTGATGCCGTTGTGTCCTCAAGTCGGGCGCTGATATATCAACCCCAACCGATGGCAAGAAGTACAGGTAGCAGTTACTTGGATGACGTTGTGGAAATTTCTACTGTCGTTAGGTCTACTAAAATGATGTTTAACCCTGAACAAATAATAAACACAGTATAAAAACCTTTATTTATTTATTTACTGCTGCACTTGCATTCACATCTGTTGAGCTCACCGTGCTTGAAACTCTGGTCGCTAAAAGAGCGAGAAAGTCGTACCACTTTGAACTTCCAGCTAAAAAAATCAAGTTGCTGTGTAACACTATTCTATTATTTAAACTCGCCACAGAGGCCTCTTCGTTGTCGATACGAACTCTCACAGCTACTATGTATTCGGCGGTTTCCTTGGCTTCGGGATTGATGGTACGGATGTATTCGGCGTTGCCTCTGCTTAAGGTTGGAGTTCAACAAACCATAAAGCTTTTTACCTCGACTCTTTTTGCCTATTTGGCATTAGGCTTCTAAAGCGGAAAGTTTAAAATCATCGAACCTTTTTGTTTAATCTTGAATATTCAGAAAATAGTCTTTAGGCTTGTGTTAAAAACTTTTGCTGGAGTTTAACAGACCATGATAAATTTACATCCATTTAATTTTTTAATTATTGACATGCCTTTGAACCCACACATTTATTTCTATTTTTGATGGTACGCTTTGAAGATAACTACAAACAAACGGTTTCATTTCATAAATGTTTTCCGTTCTTCATAAAATATTTCCACAAACAGCCTTTAAGTTTTGAAAGTAGTATATGAATTTTAAATTGCTAGAAAGAGTTAGACGTGTCTTTCAATTTATATTATTATAAGGGATCCCATTTTTTAGAAACATTGCAGTCATATTGTTCCCCTTGTCTCATGAAATCCATTACTTGACACATGTTTTTGTTGAGAAATGAGAAAATATTTTTTTAAGTCAAATAACTAGACAGCAACATGCAAATACCTCCAAAAATGCGGCTCAGAAAATTTTGCAAAGTTTCCGCTCTGCGAAAAAACAGCATACCAATGAAGGTAGTGGAGAAAAATCAATGGGATCATGCAATGAAGACATCACGAGCCCAAATGAAATTTCAGCCAGCGGGACCGTTGGACGACGGAAGTGCCTTTCGACAAATTGGAGAGCTGCTGATCCAAGGCAGGCGTAAGCGCGCCTCCTGAATCCGGCCAAGGAGAAGCCACCAAATGGCGCCCGACTTGTATTCAAAATTACCGGACGCGCCGAGTGGTTGCCGACAAATCACTTCCTCTAGATGTTTGCTTCGAAATTCTCTCAACTGAAATGCAGAGCGTTATGCGAGACCTGCCCGGCGTATTTTTTTCCAGAGATGATGACTACAGTTTGAAATGTTTATGAACAAAAAATGTAGTGTTTTCTTGCCATGTCTTTGGACATTTATTATTCATTTTGTGTTTCCTCACTTTGTTCAACTCCTGTACTGGCATTTGGTAACTGGTTCCAGATGCAATAAAATCATTAAGAAGGTTTCACTTTCCCACATTTTTGATTGAGTATTGATTTGAAATTTAAATTCATTCTACATGTTTAGCGCTAAGATTCTTACGAGGAATAACTCGTAGGCTAGCAATTTTTTCTGTAAATCAAGTATTTTGCAAATACTTTCGGTATTTTTATTCACCTCACCATGCAGCAAATTCACTTGCTTCAACAGCAATGTCACGAAAGTATGTTCCTGTAAAGAAATATGTTCTATCCGCGTCACAATGCATTCTGATGGCTGCCGTCAGCTTCCTTGTCAGGCGTTCGGCGCACATTGAGCAGATAAGCGGGAATATCTTGTGATGTTTGCCGAGCAAATATCTCCACTATCGACAAGATGATTGGTGTTGTTGATGCTTCTTGTAAATATTGAATCGATTGCTGCAACTCCCTACAGCAAGAAGTGTGTCTGGAAAAGAACCATCGGAAGTGGTGAATTGAACCCGTTGCCTGCATCAAATTCCTCGGGGACGTTTGATCCAAACGCATTCGATGCAGCTGATGAATTCCGCGAATTTGTTCCATGGTATATTTGTATTTCATTCTGTGCTACGTGTTGGTGTTGATCCGATGCTTGTTTTGTGTCACCAAGCTTTGTCGTCATATTGTTGCACTTTTGGCGTGCGTGTAGTCCTGTAAAAGTTTGGTTAGTCGCGGTGGAAAAGATTATTTGATTAAACTATTTCCTTCGTTTTTGTTGCAAGTTGAATTGTTTTTTTTGTACTTGGTTTATATTTTCTACCCTCTTGTAACCGAAGGAAATTCTTTTTTTAATTATCATTCACAGTTCTCACGTAAGAACTTAGTGCAGACCATATCAAAGCTACACATATTAAAAACAAACGGAAAATTTTTACCATTACTGAAATTGAAGAAAAAAATCAACTAGAAACGAGTGCGCTGCTCGACTCCTGAGTTGACGATCCCAGAGAGTTTATTGGGGCACCGTGGAAGAGAATCGCGGAGCTCGCATCGCGGCAGAGACTAAGCGCCGCTGTCTTCATAAGCCAAATAACAGATGGACGCCACTGCGGTGCATCGCTCAACCTTGCACCTCCTAGTGTCGTCGCAGTGCTTCATTTTGCTTGGTATTGCGCTAGCGGATATCAAATATTTTCTATCGCTTGATGTTTGTTATCTCCTGACCATTTGCTTCTTTAGAAGTTTTTTTATCCGACTGGTTCGGAATCGAAGGAAATTTGGTTTCTATAGGAATATTTTTATGACTTAAATAGGCGTGGACTCTTTTACCTTTATTGTGATTTTGCTTCTTTTTTCATTTGGTGTTATGTGCTGTCAAATTTGTATATTTTGCTCCACGAACCCCAATCCTTTTAGAAAGAATTAATTTCTATATTGTTGAGTACGTTTTTTTCACTTTGATTGCATTTTTCACTCTTGCTACGAGATTTTTTGTGTCATACGTAGAATTAAATATTTCATGACCAATTAATGAAAGGAGCTTATGAATCAACTAATGAAAGCTTACCATTTACGTTATATTTCACAGATAGCCAATCCACGTACGTTAAATTTTAATGTACCATATCGCATTGACTTTTTTATACGTCCATTCTTTTCCTTTGCCCGTGGCTACTGATAGATTCTCGGTGCCAGCAACCTGTGAAACCTGATAATTCCTGCTCTTGCTGTGACGTAAAGGTGCTAATGTCGTCTTCTCTTTGTTATTGTTCGAGGAATTGGTTTTTGGTACAAATTATTGCTGCGCAAACCGCCGTTAATCAAAATTATTGCTCTCTGTCACTGAAGCTTCATTTATGGTGTTCTCATATGATGGATTGTGTGCGGAAAATTAGAATTTTTTTCTCTATATAGTCAGGGCTCATGCAACATCAAATTTTTTTTTCTATAAGAATGCTGCAAATACTTTGTGTTTCTTAATAATTCCTGCCAGTTATACAACAATTAAATATCACTGCTTTATCGATTGGAAGCTTCGTCAATTTAAACCATTTTACATTATTTTTTGCTCTCATCAGTTCTATGATTCACAATATCAAACGAATGATCTTATGAATAAGTGTTTGCGAATTCCCACGCATTTCACACTGTTGCATGATTGGCATGTCGAACTAAATTATCTTTCTATATTTTCACAGAAGTCTACGGTATTTTAAACCAATATTTAATTAACTTCGATGTCTGCGCAAAATCATAACATAAAAACAATATATAATTTTATCTGATTATCCAGCATTGACTAATTCGAAGATGTTCTTGTTTTTAAATTATGGGATATGTCAATAGGAAGCTGAGAAGCCAGAAATTTCACTGTGTTTGCTATTTTTTAGCGATGTTGTAGTAAGGTAAAGAACAGCGGCAAGTAAATAATCTTTTGTTTTCGAATGCATTCTGCAATATCATAAATGCATTCGTTCTGAAAATCACTAAAGAATCCAATTACTCAGATTTGGCTGTTATGATTCCTCTCGTTGCCGTGTTGTGAATGACGTATGAATGCTGCTCATTTGCCTGCCTGGTTATCCCGAATTACTTTGACTTTTGCGTGCTGCCGCCCGAGCTTTGTCTCAGCGTAAAAAATCCTCGGCAAATGGATCATCGAGTAATGAGCTCACGGGAACTGCAATTTTAATTTCTGGCGGTGCGAGCTTTTTTGACTTCGGCTGAGATTGAGTGCAAAACATTTTGCAGGATTTTTTTGCTTCACTTCCAATGCGTTGCAGAATTTTGCTTTGATTGAACTAGAGGCTTTCTAAACGAAAATTTTTAATTTTTTTCCGGAAATATAAAGCCATCGTTTTTTTAAAATAAGGTTCTGCGTCATTTTAGATTATAAATATAAGCTTTTAGAGATTGTTTCAATGACAAAATACATTCTGATAAATGACAATGTTTAAATGACAATACGCCACAGCTGATCAAGATTTTTCTATTGATCAATGAAAGATCACATAGATATATGCTACTTCCATTGTAAATATGTATATTTTAAATAATTTCCAATCTTTTTATTTTTTGCAGACGGCCCGAGCTTTGTCAGCGACCCAGAAGATGCTTTTGCGGATCTCGGAGAAAACGTGACACTGAACTGCGAGGTACACGGAAAATTTCCGTTATAAACTAATTCCTTCTTCAACTTTGCCAATGAAACTCAAAACTTTAATCTGCGATCAGGATTCGCAATGTATTTTGAAATATTTTTCATTACAAATGTTAATGTTGTGTTTATATCGTGTTGTCTGAATGTGTTACGCGATCTAGTTTGAATGAAACGTAGGTAAATATCATACCTTAAATATTTGCGATTGACATGAGGATTGGTATCCCAGTGGCACGAACCCGTCGCCTATAGAAACCATTGTAGGAATTAAATGATTGTAAACTAAAATTTTTTTCCGAAGTAACACTTTTATTGACCAGGTAAGAAAACTTAAAGCTATTGAAAATTTCGAATTTATGGTAGAGTTACACATTTTTTTACGTGCAGTAAAAATGCCAAATTTTTATTAAGAGGTAATTATTTGATACTTTTCAACATGGCAACTTTAAAAAAAAAAACATTTTCGTGCTTATCCTCCATCGGTACGCACGAAAAAATTCTATACGTATCCTCCATTCTTTCTTAACCCTAGGATTTGTATATGTGATAGCAAAACTGTATTATTCAGTTGTGTAAATGTCGCTATGACTAGATTGTTAACCAAGTCGTGCCTATTTTTCTAAATATTTTCGATGTGTCAGGTGGATTCGAACCCCGAAGCAACGATCGTTTGGGTAGGGCAGCAGAAGCAGACAGTCGCTGGCCGAGGTGCTGCTCTCAGGCTGGAAGCTTCTGCAGAGACCATCGGCAATTATCTCTGCATCGCTAAAGTTGAAGGCTTCCCAGAAATATCAGGAACCGTTGGCCTTTTCTTGAAGGTAGGAAGGAAATTCTTAATATTTGGGTTTCGTAAATCTGTGATTCTTTGCGCGTAGGAAACATTAAATTTTAATAAATTTTAGTTCATGGATATTTTTTTAATGATGTCGTTAATTAATTAAGACACACGAAAAATTCTAAACTTGTTATTGATTTTCCTCGGAATCAAAGCCCTACTTTTACTTTATTCTTGCTTGCTATTTCTCGATTCAGAAAATGACTCCATTAATTCTGGTGAATTAATCTCTACGCTCTTTAATATATACTTGCATGTTTTCCCCATTATTGCTGTATCCACTGAAAACAAAAGAGCACAAGAAAGCAATTTTTTCAGTATTTCATCGTATAAAGCAGTACGGCGAGCATGTCGTAAAAAATCAGCATGACGCATGATTATCATGCATGTCGTAAGAAAGCAGCATGACGCGTGGTCATCAAGCATGTCGTAAAAAGCAGCATGAGGCTTGGGTGGGCCCAGGTTATTAGCACTCGAGACAACAGCAACATTCTTGCTGAAAGTACACGCGTTCCTCGCCGTAACTTATAACGTATCATGAATACCGAACGTGACTAGCAAGCCGTGAATAGGTAAACCTTGTCCACAGGAACATGTCACTATATGTTCCTATAACGCTCATCCTAAAAAATATGATGCCTTCTGAAAACTAAACATATTTCTTTCACGTGCCACTATGTATCCTATATGGTTCATCCTTAATACTGATATTTTCTGAGATAATGTTTCACATTAATACACAATTAGTTCACATGAACGCAAAAAAAATTCTAGTGAATTGTCAGTCGAAACGTGCATTAATTAATCTGATAACATGTTTCCGTGTGTAGACTCGTCCGTGAATGTTCGCTTTTAAGTTTTCACTCGATTTATTTAAGCAAGAGTTCCCTCACTGACGTTTCTAATTTTTTTAGACATATTTCTTCATCAAAGTCTAGCTAAGGTAGTTGTTATTTATTCAGGATTTTATCACATGTTTCATTCATATACTTTTGAAATAATCAAAAAATCTTACAATATCTTAAATTTGTGTATCCATTATAAAATTTGAGTAATGTTACTAATAGCAGCATTTTACTCGTGTTTCCAGCTCAATCATCTTCTTAATGGGCTTTTGAGGCTTAGGAGTTCATTAATTTATGCTTCGAGGCTGGCTGCTGCCAAAATATTCTTCGTCTAATTATTCGACGGCCAAGTTAACCATAAATGATGAGAAGCTGCCATATTTTCTCGGCAACATTTCTGAGACTCCGTGTTTTGACTTCCGTGAAAAACGCTCTCCATTGAAACCTTTTCTTCAGAGTTTACTAACAAGGCATAACTTAGTGGAAATTTGTATCTTAATATAAATTTTCTTTGTTGTTGTATTTTCACCTATTGAACGTCTTTTGCTTTAATTGAATAACAATGGATGCATTTCTATTTAAATTCCCTACCTTTTGTTTCAACTGAAAAGAAAACCGTCCATTTCAATCGTGCTTTCGTCAGAAAATATTTTTCACGTTCAGTTTTTGTCCGTATGAATAGAACTAGTTATTTCAGAATCCGCTAGTGACTGCAAATTTTTTCGTTGAATGACTGATGACTTTTGAAGAATAATTCTTCCAGTTAACAATTTTATTTTATTTCTAACTGCAAAATACCAGCTTCAAATCTTTAGTGTCTAAAATTAACATTTTCTTGTCTGGTTCCCCCTCAGGGTCCCCCGGGGGTGCGAGCTGAACCCCTGCAGTGGGGGGCAACAGGGGATACTGTCACCGTGGACTGCTATGTCACCTCCGCGTCTCCGCGTTCCGTTACCGTCTCCTGGTCTAAGTTCGGCTCCAAAGTTGATCTCGGTGAGTGAATGTGTATTGTCGTGCTTAGTCCATTTATATAATTATTAGATATTGTCTATATACTTGCAGTAATTCCGATCTCTTGATGTGCCGCCGAGAAATTACCAATTTTTTCAAACATTTTTCATTTTAGTGGCAATGTGATCTTTTATAACAGTTTAGGTATATCATTGCAAGTGCATAGGAAGAGCATCATATTTATCGAATTGGAATAGAGGGAGCACAAGATGAAGCGATACATGATGAATTACTTACTTTCATATCAACATCAATATAGAGGAACTGTAAGAACTGGAGGTAATGTAAAATTACCACCACTTAAGCATTTCATTTATATACACCAATCTAAACAAATGGAGGTAAAAAAGCTCCTAGTTTGCAAACTCCAATTTATTTATGCAATTAAATCAAGTACGCATTCGAATGATGATTAGGACAAGCTCGTGTGCAAGTATCCCAAACATGGCGCTCCTTGCGCTCTCGAATTGCCGATGAATCCTTCTGCCTTGCGAGGCTTCATCCGAAGTTGCCCTGGTGCTGAGATGAGCTGCAATAATGCCTGTTCCTGACGCTCTGTCCCTCTCAATGGATGCAAAACCAGCCCCAACTTGGTTAGATTAGTTCACTGGTATTCTGAAGTTTGAATTTAGTCATAGAGTTAGAGGCCGATTCAAATGGCAAGACTTCAGCGAAACGTGAATGAAGAAACTGGACTGCTTCTTCTCGTGATCTCGTCGAAGATCTCGATTTCTTCTGAGTGAGCATTCGATGAAATGAGACTGTTTTGCGTGTAGGCTTTCCCGAAATAAGATGGCTTCCACGAAGTTTCAAATTATCTTCGATCTTTTTACAAATTGAATCTATCAAATACTAAATTCTTCACATTATTATAAACAAATTAGTCCGGAGATGAATTTTTTATCATTTTCATTGTGTTGAAACAAATTTTGTTTGCCAATCCAGTACTGCTAGTTTTTCAACATTGAAAGCACGTCTAATTTTGACCAAAATCACTCAGGTATTACTCATCATGATTGCTTCCAAACTTTGATTATCCCGCCTTGAAAGTAAATGTATTACATTCTAATAAATTCTAATAATATAATAATAATAATAATATACTATAATAATATATTATATATAATATACAAGGACTACTACACACAGGACATGCATAGCCTATGTCCAGCCTCTGCTAGCAGAGGCTGGACATAGGCTATGCATGTCCTGTGTGTAGTAGTCCTTGATAATATAATAATAATATAATAATAATAAAGATTCTAATAATTAGAATCGTAAACATACCTAACGATATTATATTGTGTTGTTCAGTGCCTGGCCGATACGAGGAGCTGGAAGAGGTCACAGCGCTCGGTCTCCGGCATTCGCTCATCATCCGCAACGCCAAGGCCGAGGACTTCGGAACCTACAACTGTTCAGTTCAGAACGCCTTCGGCTCCGGCACTATCGAAATTGTGCTCGACAAAAGAAGTGAGTTTAGGCTTTCATCATTCACGAGATGTTCATCACTTCTGACGATTTCATTAGCATAGCCCCTTTCGTCTGTTTCCACTCGGGACACAAGCCTTTGAATATTCTCATGCATCACTTTCGATCTATTATATAACCAAGCTTGAATCTCGAAGTTTTATGCTCGATGAAGATATTTCTTTGATTTTTTGGAGTCAAAATTATTGGTCTAACGTTGTTTTGATCATTGAAATATCATTTCATATTTGAGCCGCTTCCACCATAATGTTTTGGCAAAGTTATATGAAATATTTTGATTAGAATTGAGTCATACATTTTTATCAGTTGTATGTGTGCGTTCCGTACTCATTTTATATCGTTTCGTCGAATAAAAGTAGTTTTTTCGCTCATTATTCTAACGAAATAACATGATTATTATTTGTTATGAGATCAGTAAACTATGCAGCCATTTCAACCTTTCTCTTCTCCCTGCACTAATTTACTGAATTCGTCCTCATCGTAAATGTTGTGTAATATTCTTAATTTTTACTCAACATCAACTATTTTTATCAACAGAAGGAATGCCGATTCTCCTGATAATCGGCGGTGCGGTGCTCGGCATCGTGTTCATCATGGCCATCGCCATCGGCATCATAATCTACGGACGAGCATCGGCGGCTAAACAGAACGGTATTTTACAATAATTTTGTATAATTTGAGTAGTTTAAAAATTTCCTTATCAAAACTGTTCAAAGATATCTTCGATTCATGTAATGTTTACCATTTATTCTTTATTTGGCAAGGATACCTGGTTTAAAAACTGTGCATCATCTCGCATTTATAACTTCAAAACTGATGTTCAGCCTTTACAAATTCGAGGAAAAACCGGCCCTTCAAAAAAGATGCATCGGCACGGCCTGAAAAGACCGGCCTGGCTGCTTGGTCTTGTATTCAGAGCGTTTTAAATTCCACTGAGCGTATACTTAAGCTGCGCCCCAAGTCTTTGTTGGCGCTTTTACTTGCTTGTCACGTGCTTCAGCAGACTCCATTGGCGCTTCTATAAGTATACTTTGTGCATACTTCGCCCGCTTAGTTTAGGCGCCTCGCACACCCTGCGCGCGAACACTGGGTGCTCGACGCACTCCACTTTACGTCTGTGCTCGACACACTCCACGTGACGTTTGTGCTCGACGCACTCCACGTGACGTTTGTGCTCGACGAACTCCACGTGACGTCTGTGCTCGACGCACTCCACGTGACGTCTGTGCTCGACGCACTCCACGTGACGTTTGTGCTCGACGCACTCCACGTGACGTCTGTGCTCGACGCACTTCACGTGACGTCTGTTCACGACGCACTCCACGTGACGTCGTATCAAACTTATACCCTAAAACTCTTGTTCTTACTTCAAGGGTAAAGTTTTGTTTGTCAAATAATAATATGCACATTGTTCTAACTTCACCATAAAAATACTTGATTATAGTATCTTATTCGAACCTCATTTCTATGGAGTTCATAAATTTAAAGTTTCGTTGTTTTTTATCAGCTGTGGCAAATTTTATCGAAAGTAAAAGTAGAACGCTGCTTATTTTTTTATTGAAACAGCCATTGCTTGAGAAAAAGGGCAAAACAAAAGACGTTTTTTATATGCACATGCACACATCAAGAGGGTAAAAACTGCATCAAAGTTAGTATTTTTGTAGGTATGTTCGGGCGGGACAAGTGATCCAAAACAATATCAACATAACTTTCAAAAAATTAATACTTACAAAACTTTGAATGTCATATTTTTCGATAACACATGTGATTAAAATGGTCCAGGTGCTCAGCAAAAGGCGTGCAGTGTGGCGTTTCCAAGTCTTGGAAGGAAAAGATTTTTTTCAAATCACGATGTTGTGTGACTTTCTCGATTTTGAGGGATGACTGTTAGAGATGTTTTTACCAACACTTCTCTTTAACTTCACTTCTTGTTGTTTGTTTGTTTGTCTGCTACAAATCTTATAATCGATATTTAGCACACTTCTACCTGTCCAATCGATCTGAAATTTTGCACACTTGTGTAAAGCTGGAGACAATGCATGAATCAATTAACAGAAAAAATAATTTTAAAAATTATGCAATTTTTGTTTAATATTACAAAAAATGTAAAAATAATTTTATCTGCCACAAATCCTATAATCCATATTTGACACACTTCTACCTGTCCAATCGATCTGAAATTTGGCACACTTGCATAAAGTTAGAGACAATGCATGAATAAAGTTAGAGACAATGCATCAGTTGACAGAATAAATAATTTTAAAAATTTACTAAATTTTTAATCATTAAAAAAATTTAAAAAAAAATACAAATTTAATTCATTGTACATGTGTAACATCAAAGACACTGGATAATTAAGGAGTCTTGTCTTTAACAAGTAATTTTTAAACACATATTATTATTTTTAACTTCACTTCTTTTTGTTTGTTTGTCTGCTACAAATCTTATGATCGATATTTAACGCACTTCTACATGCCCAATCGATCTGAAATTTTGCTCACTTGCGTAATGTCGAAGACAATGCTTGAATCAATTGACAAAATAAATAATTTTAAAAACAAAAAAATTTTAAAATAAAAAATGTAACAAATATTTTTATATTCAAAATAAAATAAGAAATTAATTTGACATGTGTAACATCGGAGACACTGGCCTCTTTAGAAGTTTTGTCTTTAAAAAGTAATTTTCAATCGTATAGGTATTAATTTTAATCACGATGCTGCATGTGGAGCGTTCTCGATTACAGGCTGTTAAATATATTTTAACTTACGATGTAGTGTGGGTTTTGCTATTTAATGCTGTTACGAATGTTTTAACGATGCGAAAGCCGTGCCACCCACGTACGACTTAGCTGTTATGAGACCCTCGGCTGAGTTCGTCGTACAGAAGCACTTGTCACCAGGGTAACTCCAGTTTTGCGTAATGACCGAACTTGCCGCATTAATCCATGCGAGTTGCGCCTCCCTAGCGTTCAACTTCACCCATAATTAATACGCTACAATTTTAAACTAATTCTTTGTTGCCAAGTCGCAAGCAAAGCTGGTTTATGCCGCTCGATGTCATGGGCTGAGCTCTCTCATATGACTCCCATTTGTTTTCGTCGTGAAGCTGCCTTGTTTGTAGAATGCGTCCCTCATTTTTCATCCGATTTTACAAGACGTGCAGTGTAATCCAAACTTCGTACACAAAAATGCCAAGCTATAGAGAGAAAATTCCAATCTCATGTATCCCTAATTGTCGATTCCTCCCTGTAATTTCAAAGAACGAGAATGTATGATTTACAAGAGTTTAATTTTTAATTCGGTTATCGATGTATAATCTTCAGCAGTATGAATATTAACCTCATGCACTGATAAAATAGAAATTGTGTCGAGCAATGAATTCATAAATGTAATAAATTATTTTCTTCTCCACAGCCGCCAAAAGTAACGGAGGCCTCCCTGAAAAAACGGTCTCGTTGCAAATCGGTGATCACAGCAGCAACGGAAACGACTCGGATTTTAAGGTGAGATTTTTACGTTGTATATTCCTGCTGTACGTGCAATTGATTAATTATCTTCAGAATGAAAAAAAAGACGTTGATGTAAGTTTAGCCAACCACAGTATTATCCGGAAACCTATTTTCATTAAATGGAAGAAATTATCAATTTTCTATGCTTCTTCGATTCTTGATCGGATAGTGCTTAAGATGATCAGCCTACCTGTGGCATATGAGAGTGGAAGATATAAACTTTCATCAGTTCTGTTCACAACAAATAGTTCAGTATAACATATATCACCAGGTATCATGAAGGTTCAAACCATGTGCAGAATATTTCATTTTCTCTATGCTTTTCACAACAAATACTACGTGAGGCATGCATCAGCGGACATTGGAATAAGAGATAGGCCGTTCTTTTAAATATTCACGGTTCAAAACATGTGCAGAAGATGTTATTGTCCCCTATGCTTTTCACAACAAATGGTACGATAGGCATACATCAGCAGGTATTGGCACAAGAGAAGTGTCATGTTTACCTCACAGCCCGTTAAGTATGCACCGCTGATACATAATTCAAGAGGCAGGTCTTTGTGAAGTCTGCCTCGCTGGTACGGCCGCGCCCATAATTGCTTCAAGCTTTAAGGCCTCGCAACCTTAATTGCGTCATCTTCACCTCAAATTTGTATCGGTATTCATTGGATAAAATATTTAACGACTCAGCCGTATAGCAACACACATGGTGGTCACGGTGTACAGACCTGATCTCCCTTCATTGTGATCTTCTGGAATTTACATGGTTTTATTGAAAAAATTACAAATGTTTTTCTCGCGCTGCAAGAACAAATCGATGACTTGTAATTTCATTTATGATTTGCATGAGGTTGATTTGAAACCATACTTCAACATTATTTAATTCATTGACAGGTTTAGCTCAAAATATTTCTTATTTTGGATACCGCTATTTTGGTTTGTCTAGCCTGTGGGTTTGAGCGCCATTAATTTTGGCAATAAATAATTTTTTAACTTGAGAATATTCAATATTCCTAAAATTCACTAGTATTTTGGAATATTTAACAGAATATATATTCAACAGTTGTTCCCCATGCAGTAAGATGTTTTATTCTATTATCTCGTAATTTTGACTAAGTACTTTGCTTAATCTTTTATTATATCCCAAGTCATATATTCTGTAGGGAATATTTATTTCGGTTAACTGCTTGACTGGCTCATTAGTTCCAATTAATTCGATTTATCACCTCAGACTTTTTAATAAACATCAATTATTATACGTAAGTTTAATTTAGTGCAACTTTCCTCAGGCCCATTTAAAATTTTCCCTATAATATTTTTTGGAATTAATTATTAATTTTCATATACGGGTAAAATATCGCTTTGTGAATCACGGCTCCCTCTTGTTCGATATTCGAATAGAATTATCGTTATCATCATAAGTAACTTTCTAGGAACATTTCTCATTTACAAGATATACGTTCGCCATAACAATGACTATTTACTTGATATTCGTGTATTTGTTTGCACCTTCATATGCTAACTTCCATGAATATTGTGGAAACTTGGGCGCAGTATTTTGCGAGTGCAGTAGAGTGAGAATAACTGCAGTAGAAGGTACGCTTGGGAATGGATCTAATGTACTCGATCGGACCGTCGATAGTGGGCCAAAATATGCGCCAGTTTTAACTCACCAAACGAGAGGTTTCCAGAATTTCAAACGGGACCTTCCGGGGGCTCGGAGGCAGAAGCTCCATTCTTCGTCGTGTTCCGGAATATCGAATTTTATCTCTATGCTAAATTGAGAGATATGTCCTGCTCGAAAGTTTTCGCTTTGTGCCAGTGAGCGGAGGTTTTAAAAATTCCAATGCTTCTCCATAGAAAGTAATGAATTTTTCAAGCAATTTATTATTCTTTATTGTATCACATTTTTGGTATACTTGATTTAACTTCAATTTAAAGTCTATCCGGACTTTTCTGGTGACGACGATTTTACTTCACTTTATTTCGCCACGTTCAAAATCATCTCTTTTCAATTTTATTTCGGTTCAGTTAAGATCGAAAACGCGGGATCGTTTTGTCATTTTTAAAGCTCATTCTACTCGAGGTTTTGTTGCGTTGTAAAGCAGCCTGTCTATACCCGTATTATCTATGCACGAGAGCATTTCCTTATCGATCAACGGCCGGATTATACCATCATGTTGTCAAGACTCCCAACATCCCATCATTAACAGATGATTAAACCTTTTTATTTAATTTTTTCCTAGATTCCAAATCACTTGCCGGTAGCGCACTACAAAAAGTGGCTTCCGTCATAATTATTTATTTGTTCAATTTATTTGTGTGACATTGCCTAGGCAATGCAGTGTCATTGTCTCTAAATAAATGCTCGCATTTCAGGTTCATGATTTTGTCCATGTATTTTTTATTTATTTCTAGCTAATTCATCAAACATAAATACGCTATATATATTTGCTCTACGTATAATCCTCCACTTAAGTTGAGTCACAGCCGCACTTGGTTAATAAACTTATTTAATTTAATGTCAAATAGATATTAAATAGGAGCTTCCTGTTTACCAACTCGTCGAGATTTTACGTTGGATTCACTCATGTCAAATTTTGTAGACTCCAGTTATCTGTTGTTAATTAAGTTACTTCTTGCTGCCTTAGGCAAAGCAGCTTATCATTTTCACATCCGGGCGTCAGCATTAATTAAAAATTATAGTTAGAAAAAGTTTGTAATGGTCCAAATTATCATAGAGCGACATTTGCAAGGCATTAATACAAACGGAAATTCACGTGTAAATTCTGCTTACGATCTAGCAAAATTTTGTTAAACATTTGTGTGTCGCCTTTGCTCTGTTGGCGGGGAGCTCGACGGCATCTGATATATTATCGCATTAATGACAACGATGCCACTCATTATTTCAATGATGTTCCGACTGAGTATCGAATGTGAAAACAAATTCCAATGTGACTTTTGAAGGCATCCAGCCTCTTGTGTCTTCATTCTGCCACGCCTCTTACTTAAATAATTCACATTTAACGTCATTAAATTTATTCCTCAGTTGCAGTTAACCGTTGTTAACTGCGTATAACGTAGAATAGCGCAGAAATATGTTGACGAATTTACTTGGTTGGGCGGTAAAAATTTGGGCTTGGGGAGTCGACCAAGTTGAGAAGTGATATTTGTCGTAGACTTGGGTTTGCGCTGGACCCTAATCTTGTTAACTCTCCGATAACTAGAGTTGGATCAATGCTTGGCTTTAGATAATGGCTCAGAAGGATTTATTACTGACTTTGCCGGGATTTATTCTCACAGTGGCTCCTTGAAAGAGACCACGTAAAAAAATTCTCTGTCAGATGGGCTCAGTAAACGAAAAATAAACGTTGGAAAATTCTAGGGGTGAAAGGTACGAATCTGCAGCGATGCTAGTGGCGTTCTCAGGTCTTGCGGCGTCCTTATTTCTTGTAAGTTGTAAAATGGGATTTGAGTAATAATAGACCGTGAGTCGCAAATTTTTAGCACCTAGTTACGACTAATTCGTTTTAATTTTCTTCGTGTCAAATAAAACTATCCAGACTTGTTTTATTGTTTGACTCTGACATTTTAATTCTTTTTTATTTTTTTTTCATTCCATAGCAGTTATAGTACCTCGGTCCATAGTGATTCCCTTATTGAATTAATGAAGTATAATTAATGCTGAATAATTGTGAGCCTTGTTGGAGTTTGCTACGAGATGGACCGGGAAGAGTTTTTTTTTTGTTCTTGACAAATTGGATCTATTGCATTATGAGTCTTGATGCAAAGATCATTTAATACCATGGGATTTGGTTGTTCGTTAGACTTCCAAGTTTTTCACCGTGTGAATTTCGGTGCCCTTTTATATTTCCCTACAATAATTGTAATGAATGAAGAAGTTCTGCACAGAAATGGATTTTGTTCCATAAAATGGTTCAAACATGCTTCTTAAAGAATATAACGTATTCAATCAAGCGATACTCATTTTTTATAGATTAACCTCAACTGTTCACACAACACTGGCACATTAGCAGTCATGGAATTTTATTCGTATGTCTGAATTTTTCCAAACAACGGAACTATTAAGGGCAAATTAAGTACGTAAACTATTCAGAAAAAGCGTATATAATTTACTAATAACCATCGCTTGCAAGAATCCTTGGAATATAGGTATTACGTTAGCTAATTCATACAATTATAGATGTTAGGATTTTCGTACTGTAGGATCCTAATTTTTTTTTTCGTAGCTATGTGCGGCATATAAAATGTGATCAAAGAACCTCGTTAGCGAACGGAGAGGTAAACATCATTGGACAATTTTTTGATCCTTCAAAGTCGGCGTAATTGGTTAAGGTTGGAAACGATAAGTTCCTTCTGGCTTAACAGCTAGGTTACAGTCTGGAAATATCGTGCAAAAATGAATTTCTTCTCCGTGAATTAATTTAATATCAAAATCATTGTCATTTATAAAATGACAAATTTTGAACTGCTCTCTAACATGATATCGTTTATTTATACAAATTTACGATTAGACCGTACACATTTATCCCTAATTTAAGGTCTAGTTTATTAAATATTGCAAAATCTAAGTCATTAAAACGTGCTCTAAGTCAGAAAAATAACGTAAGTTGCTCACGAAAAAATTAGTAAAGAGATTCTGCAATACGTCTTGGCACGGTTCTGTTCATAAGATTCCAAAGTACTGCCAGCACGCTCTGTTCGGCGTTATAAGTTGTAGAGACAGAATTATCTTTCAGTGAGTTCTGGTTAAGCATCCCGCAGGCGGAATAGCAGCGATATTCTCTGTGTACAGAGACTGTGTGCCTTGTTCCCAAGAGTAAATATATTATGCGCCATCTTGGTGAAATTGCTTCTAATATGCCTCGGAGAAATAAGGTACTACTGCCACCATAGCGAAACTCTCCTTCTATATAATAATATGCAGAGCACCGATTGCTTTCGCTGGCGCTTGCCTATTTTGCGGCAGATCGCAAGCATTGGCTATACACGAGCCGCATTTTGTGTGACTGCGCTTGCCTAGATTCACTGTAAGGAACCCAAATTCGTTACCGCATTGAAATTGAGTTAAAGTTTGATACGATTGAGACGTTTTTTCTGCTTCGTTTCCAGCTTCTTGTTCACAAATTGAAACGTTGCCTTTTGTTGGAAATGTCAACGTTAAAAGAGTAGCGAGCCTTGCTGCAGTGCTGCCGACCTGATGACGGTCGTCTTAGGTTTCCGCGCCAGTGATCGTCAATATACTAATGAACCACCAGCATTAAATTACTCATTGATTTTGATTCGGAGGCCACATCGCTCACTTCAAATCGTCCTGTAACGATGGATTGAAAGGAATATACTTCTGGACATCAGACTTGGATATTTATGAAATTAGCGCCATTTTACAGCAAATTTTCAGAAGCTTGTCTTTTGCAATTTAATACTGTACAGTGAGAAGAGTAACTATTGTTGCTTTGGAAAATTATCGTTGCTTTGATAACAATTGTCGCTTATATTTATTTAAGAACGTGGTGTCTAATATTCGAAAACCGCTGCAAAGCATGTACCGTTCCTACTCTCCTACCGTTCCTCTTTCATCTTCTTCATAAATTGAAGTAAAACCCATTTTCACTAGGAACCGTTTTGAAATTCTTTCACACCATCAATTTCCGCTAAGGTTTATTTCGCTTTCAATTATTTGCAGACCACCGTGGGCTCGAATGATGTATGCGATTTACGACGCAATGAAAATCGAATTAGCCATGAACAGAAACTAAAAATCATCGTAAAGTTCTATCCGAACTTTTAGCGCCTTCCAGAAGTTAGTTTTTACTCGCCAAAACCAGCAGATTTCCATCGGTGATTTCGTCAGGAATATTATTTCTGTCCGAATTGTGCAAATATCAAGAAGTCTGGCAAGAAAAGTTCACACATTTTTTTATCGCAGTCGGTCCTGTTGTTGCAGCGAAATAATCACGAGCCCGTTCTCTTCACATATTTGATATCATTCAAACAAATGCAGTTTTCTGAACTTGTTATAATCATGACAACTATACTGCCTGTTAATCATAACACTAATATTTTCCGCACTCTATATATGTTATTTCTTGTTGTAGTTTCCCAATCTTATTAATTTCACTCGGTGCCGCGAAGCGAGTCCTTGTTCACTCCAACCTGATATTTACTATTTAATGAATTCCATGTGAACAATAATTTGCTTAATTTACGTAATCAAGGCAAAACGTTTCAAAAACTTAGATTTTAGTCCCATTTCACTAGCACGTTGAAATAGAGAGCCGCACTGGGTTGTCGCTAAGCAATAATATTTCTAGCTTAATATAATAAATTGAATTAATCATTAGTCATTACCTCACCATCCCTAATTTTGTTAGAATGTAACAAATGCTTTAATTTTTTGTCTTATTTCGTTGTCAGGTTGTACTGAAGAACCGCACTTGTTCCTCGCTAGGCAATAATATTCTCTATTAATATAATAATTTGAATAAATCATTACCTCACCTTACCTAATTTTGCTAGAATGTAACAAATGCTTTAATTTTTGTCTTATTTCTCTGTCAGGTTGAACTGGAGAACCGCACCGGGTCCTCGCTGAGCAACTGCAAAGACACGGCCGACTTGGAGCGCTGGGACAAAGACGCTGTCAGCAACGCCGGCAGCGCGACGCTGACGGGGGGCAACGGCTCTGTCAACGGGCGCCACCTGCCCCCCATTGTGTCATCCCCCAATAATGCCCCCACTCCTCCCTCTTATCACCTCACCACCTCATCCCCTTCTTATCTCTACCCTGAAGGCTACCCCAGGATACCGCTAAAGGTACGTGTTATGGCAGTATAAGTTTGTTTATGTGATCTAATTAATGAATTATAAAACTTTATGCTGAGAAAGATGTTAAATGTGTGTGCTGCATGACTTTAATGGTGAAATAAATGTAACTGGATATGAGTTTTGCCGGAATTTAACACGCTTCTTATCACCAGTTTGTGGGTTTATATTATTACTTAACCATCAATCAACAATTCCGTTTGTTCCGTTTTTAATGTGTGGCAAAATCTGCAAATCACAATAAAAATTCTTTTAAGTTAATAAAAATATGCAACTGAATCCCCAGCTGGTTCAACTTATAAATAAAAGAATAACTCCAAATTTTATGTGCAGCAAAACGGGCACGTTCTGAGCAACGGCGGTGCTCTTTCCTACGCAAACTACGCAGATCACAACAGTCTTGGTGGCCAGAAGCATGGCGTCATTACCAGCGGCTTCTCCTCGGTCGGGCTTGGCGGAGCTTTTTCTAATGCAGGTCCTACTTATTCCCAAGGACCTTTGGTCACTTCAAGCCAACAAAATCTATTCCCAAGTTACGCAGACTACGACATTTCTAGGGACAACATCGACGGATCACCTTCTTTTACTCACTCATATCCCAACGGATACAATAACCAGTCTCTGGGATGTTCTACTTTGCCTTTGGGTTTACATTTGACGTCCCGGAACAACATGAACAACGGCAACAACGTGCCACCAGTACCAAATCCTCCGACCTCCGCGTCGATAAGCGAGCACGTAAATTCTACTTGTTCGCCTTCCTCTGCCACCATACCGAGGCTGGGGATCCCGGTTGACCCGAGCCAGTACATCATGCCGCCGCGCACGCAGGTAATGCAGGGGGCTCTCGCAACACACGTCTAGTCTCAATTTTAGAGTTGCATCTCAAGTTGCGCTGGCCGTCTCCGACGCGCTCGTTGTGAGGTGAAAAGAAAGTAATAGCTTGTTTGTTAGTATATATAAGTGCGCCGTGGTGATGCCGGCGTATAACTTGAGCATTTCGTCGGCCCGCTGCTGGCCGATACGAGCTCTGCTCGGGGCTTTGTGAGGCTCAGTGAATCAGGATCCTGCTAGCTCGGCCTGATGTGATGGATAGGTAATACGCGTAGTATTAAGGTTAAATTCATGCCAAATCCGTTACTATCAGGAATTATTTATCAACAAAACGTCCATGATGGATAATTTTTTCCCATTTTTTTTGCCTTAACAAATGGTTGTATCTGCAACTGAACGTATTAAGCACAGCAAATAGATTGGTAGAGAAATATATTTATCTAAATTACTATTTCTGATATAGCGTCTGCCGCGGCCCAATAGATTTTATTACTGAAATATTTATTGCCCCTCTGAATTGCTGCTACGGTTTTACTTCTTTCTATTCGATTTTTAAAGCAAGATGCCGTTCTGTAACATAGCGTTTATATAAATTTATTTTAATTCGCGAAGCCTGCTTACGTTACATCTCTTGGATCTCATTACTGCTTAACTCGTGACCGATTCCAACATATGACATTTTGAGGTCCCTAATTTAATCGAAGTTTACATTATTTCTTTCATTTCATTAAAAATGTACTAACTTTTTCCGACTTAGAAGTTTTACACAAATGAACTTTTACCTTAGTTTTCAGTTTACTCTAGCAGAAACATGACAATCTTTTGTGTATATCGTAATTAATTGGAATACAATCTTTTATGTGCATTTCAATTAATTGGAATAGATTGCGCAGCACAAGCGAGCGGACTTGTATTCTTTGATGCCTACGTCAGTATTAAAACTTTGGGTTCTAAACTTGGCGCGAATTGTTTGTTCTCGACTTGGCTCTCGTGCGCATCGTTTACGGTTGGTATTTACAACGACTCCGTGTTTGCTCATTAGTCTTTATGTGAAATTTTCAGTATTGATTATTATTGATCAAATAATTTTAGTATAGAATAAACCCGTTGTGTTGATTCGTTGCTTTACATTGGCCGGCACATTATTTGCAGGTCTTTCGATAACTAATCGAGGCGAAATGCCTGTTTTCAATGCCAAGTTTTTAATTTAAAATTCAACCTTCGCCTGAAATTTTTATTTGCCGGTCGCGGAATATGACTTCTGAAAATTCATCGGATCAATGACTGAGTTATTGAACTAAAAGCAAATGTAGGTATGTTCATGCAGTGTTGGAAAAATTATTGTCGTATATGTTCCGTTTTTGGGAATGCGAAGTGAGAAATCTTCCAAGCAATAACAGACGGCTGTTTTTGTTCTATTTTTCTCGTCTGGTCCAATACCTATGCTCTGTAAGTACCTAAATCAACGTGTTATGTTTCTATGTACTTTTTAAAAAAGGAATCCTATGGTTTCCTCTCCATCCATATCAATGTAGAATTACTTGAAATATCGTTGTACTGTACATACGCATTTACTCAGAATTCGAAGTGTCAAATATTTTTACTGTATCGAAAATGTAAAATTAAATAAATATTCTGCTGTGAGGAGTGCGATGCTCGAGGGATAGCTGGGATTTTCTCGTCCATTTATTCGTCATTAAAGAGAGACGTTACTCTGTTTTTATGTCTGGTTGAACGATTGTCATTTGCCGTTTTCATTTACAATAAAACTAAAAGTTGTTAATTCTTTTTTATTTTACGAAAAGTATCAAATATTCATTCTCATTCATCTTTTCATAGTCTCTGAGTCAATAATGTTTTCTACCGACTACTCAATGAAAAAGTGAAAACAGTTATTATTTACTTATATAAATTTAAAATTTCTGGAATTATATTTAATTGTATTTAAAATTATGCCGGGAATTCTCTCTAGAACTGCGCTCTATTGTGTCATAAGACGCGTAGGTGCAAAGTGTGCAGGTCGCATCCGGCTGATTCATTTCTTCATATCAGTGTCAATACTCATATCATTATTTGTACATATCAAATGTTTGTAATTTTTGTACATAGCATCACAGTTGCAGTAAATATATTTTAGCATCCGTATTTTCATTTGGAATATCCTTGTAAAAGGCTCTCGATGCTGTCGTAGAAGTGAGCACAACAAATTATTATATCTCAAATACTTACTTAGACAAATCTTATTAACTTTGTATTTTTTATCAAAATATTAATTTTAAAGATACCTCGCATTACACAAAAAGTGATAGGGTTGCCTCTATATTAACTAGCACGGAGCGTGTGTGCCACGTTCCCAAAGAGGTGATAAACAATTGTGTGAGGGCAAAAGAAGTTCAAATTGCAGTATTGTCATGACACGGCGACTACCTAACCACTCAGCTCATTGTTGAACAAATTTTATCGCCTTTGCTTAGCTAATCCACTTCAGTGACTGAAAATGAGCTAAACTGAACAAATTAAAGGAGCGAAGTAGATCAAGCTGCTGCGCAACTTAATCAAATGAACGACAGCCGCGCTGCATGCTAACGCATCTCCTCCATGCGGGCTGCTGATGCGACACGGGACAGGCGATGCTGCTGCTGCGCGGCCACGGCCTCTATGAGGGAGACCGTGCCATCTCCGAGCAACGACTGTGCTGTAGAATTCCTCATGCGGGCGCCTAATGTAACCCATGGTTGAACTAGTAGATATATAGTTAAACCATGATGTAACCCTTCTTGGTTCATTATCAAGAAAATCGAAGAATCCGTGTTGGCAGAGTGGGCAGAGCATGTATAGTTCAGAGTGCAGTTCGTAATGGTAATAGTAGGTAATAGTGGTGTCCATTTCGATTATTCTAAATCTAGCTTAAAGTTGATTCTTGATATTGCAGAATTATTACATGCTTTGCTCTAATCTTTCAGTTCCCAACGACCGACCACATCGCCCAGAACTGATATAGGATTTGGAGTATTTTGAAATCACTCAACAAATATTAACTTTTTGTAGGAAATTTAGTAGTTAATTCTATTGTTGTACATAAAGACCCACGAATTTCGATTATTTCGCTCGGGAAAATTTCAGTTTAAATTAGTATTCTTACAGAAAATGGTCACTGTATTAAATGCAAACTTACTTGACTCTATTCGAGTAATCATGTAACAAACCGAAACCCTTGAAATATTCTCAGGCCTTCCCATGTATTCCGTGGAGCACTCGACCTAAAATGAAGAAGAAAAGAAAATTTCATCATTTGGTTGAGGTGGAGCACGAGAAGGAAAGCCTTGAAGCGGCGGTTTGGTTGGCGGAAGTTTAGTGCTTGGTGTAGAGTTGGAATGAAGGTGAGGCTGGCGCTGCTCTATTTGGATCACCGAGCACGCGCTCACCTGAGCAACTCTAAATCAGAGGGAGAGTTGGGTGCTAGTCGCGAGAGGAACATGTGGGCGAAATATTGGTCATCTCATCTCCGGCCAACCCTAGGCCATAAAGTGGCCGATGTTCATGATTTTACAAAACATGCTGCGAAGTGCAACTGTGGCAGAAGAGTAGAAGTTTTCGCCTCTCGTAACAATTTTTTCTGTTTCGAATTGGTAATGAAACTCTGTATCAAATGAGTCTGTGATCTTGCTCGATGGGCTTAGCAGGGATGGCTGTATAGTCCAGCAATCCTCATTCATGATTTTCGAATGGACTCGTAAAAGCTCCTTGTAGATCTCTGTGGAAGCCGAGGCCGATATAAGAAGGCCATACAACATATCTTGGTAGCAAAATGCAGGAATATTTTTTTTATGCTGAAAATTTTCAATCAACATTTTTGTAGGTGACGAAAAATTTGAATTGATTCGGATGACACTCATTTCGTACGGAAATCAACACAGGTACAAATTACTTAAAAATCACGATGAATTTTGCAATAAATATAATTTTACGTTCATTGTTGATGGTCAAAAATGAAATGCCACTACATCTACTTCATTATGATTATGAAATTCATCTGCGAGAGAGTGTAGTAAAGTTCATGTGTCTATTCGGGAGAAGAACAAAAAAATCACGAAGAAAAGTTTTGTTTATATTAGGGCATATAAAAGGACCAGCATGGTGGGAGTTTCTTTTTGTAGTGGTGGTGGCGGTGGCTGTGAGATGTTCGTCCCCATTTCTGTAGAGGTATCACTTAGTAGATTGGCTTGGTGCTGCTCTGCGATGGAATGTGCAGCCACGGCGGAGTGAGGTGAAGCAGCGGCTCCCATACTGAAGGCCAACAAGCGTCGAGGTGGCAACGATGGCTTTAAAAATGTTGTACATGACCACGAAGATCATCTACTTGTTTTACGAGATAAAAAGCCCCAATTTTTTTTTGTGAATTTTAGGCTTCTTTAAATCGTAAAATATGCTATGTGAACTCATGCTGATTTTTTTTTTTGATCGCCAATCCGGAGGCCACAAGTATTTCATTCTAGCTCTTTAATTATAAATAAATGGACTTTTTTTTCATTTTTTAAGTGGATTCGCTTGTATTACTTCGTACCTGCAGTCGCTTATGCACGGTCGAAATACAACAAATTTCGAAAAATAAAAAAATACAGCCAAATTTTTTCCACCGATATCTGCTCATGGCCAATTTCCTGTCGTTTGAATTGCATATCAAAATTGGAATACTGCTCTCACGAATTTTTCTAACAATAATACAGCATGCGAGTATCGCTAGAGTTGAGTGCATTGAATATACTGCGGTGCACTTCATCACATCGTTGCTATACATCACAGTAATTGCTCTCGCCTAACTTGTCAGGCAATAACTGCGCGTTTTATGATCTTCAGAAGCGATTGCGACAGTTTCCAGTGAGGGGATTGCTCGGGACTCGAGATATAAAATTTTGTTATGAACCTCCATCGACATGCGCTCGAATTTTTAGCTGTTGATGCTTGGTTATTTATAAACTAAAGCTCGCTTCCATGATAACAATTCAATAATACTATTCCTTCCTTTCTAAATATTTTTTAATTTTTTACAGAAGAATCTAGATTCGTGATGAAACAAGGATTTTAGAGTTGAAATATGCGAAAATATTAAACATTTTCATCTAATAGTCAATAATCATAATTAGATTACTTGTATTAGGGGATTAACATTTGATTCCTCAGTTAAGTACAGTTATCTCTGAAATTTTGAACTTAGCATCGCACATAAACTCATTTTATATGCAGAGTGACAATGCGAGCCCTTTAAATGTTATTTATTATTACACTGATTCATTTTTAATACAAGGAAGTCCGTGAAAATATGAATTTGTCACCAATGCACTTGTATCTCCATTCATTGCAGGCTATCCGCACATAGTCATGATGTAAGTTCTACACGAAATGCACGCATCACGATTCATTTCTCCATCCCACGAATGTTCAAACTTGTACACATACTATACAAAAGAAATGACTTATGAACGAAGTGTCTCGCGCCGTTATCGCTACAAAATTCTCAAAACTTCACGCATTCGTTTCCCAAAAATCCAAGCCATCGAACTTCGCGACTTTTAAAGAGAAGACAGCTTTGAACATTAAAATTCTTGGTGGTTGTCGACCGACGTGGCGACGAGTAAACGTCTTGGTTTTGGCATTGCCCGAAGAAGACCAAAATGGCTAGTGAAGATGGCTGGAATAATGTAAAGAACATTTAATATTCTCGCCAAAATTCTGATTAAAAAATTTGCTCATTTGTTACTGTCGTTCAAAGACGACGGTGGAATGTATTACTCAAATTACTATGTACAAAATGTTGAAGTACATATATGAGCGCTTGTGAGGTCTTGCATGATATATTTACACGCTTTTTATCTCCAGCAGTGTAGAGCATACAACAATGCTAAAATAACACAGGAAATGATTCACCCTTTGTATGTGACTAGCCTTCAAAGCGGTAAGCCAAGTTAAGTTGAGATTCCTAACATAAATTCTGATGATTCTAAATTTAACGACGATGTACATAAATATTCAAAGTTGCCTATTTTATGTGTTTTTACATATAGGATTTTGGATTTGAAGTTAGAGATGACTTCTGACGCAAGATCTAATTTGCTGTCAACAAAAATCAGCGTAATTTTTGACTGATTTTGACATTCAATATATTCAATGCATTATTACGTAAACAAAGACGCCTCATTAATTACATCTAATTGCAATGAGTTATAAATATTTTCACAAAGCACGAAAATCTCCTCACATCAACTCGAGTACCTGTACGTTGGCATGCACATGTCGAACCTGAAAAATCAGCTGACAATATGAGGCCTATTGTGAAAGTTCCATTAATAAGGTTACAGCTCATGCATGAAGAACTACTCATTTTTTTCACAGTTGAAACACTAAGTTTGAATATCACAATATAGAATGTTTTATGAGCTTAAAAGGATCTTTCTGAATTCTTACATAGTTGTATCATTACTTCCTAATAAATAAAATTTTTGCATTAATAATATTGCGTTGAAAATATCTTGGATATTAGGATTGCTCGTGCGTTGCAATAAATGTAATTTACTTCAAATAAAACACAGTAGCCTGAGGAGATTTCTCCAATAACTATTCTTTTATCATCGATAAATGGAAGCAGTTTTACGATGTATTCTTGTCACGAATTATTGTTCATTTATTATAAGAAAATCTTCCTATTATTTTGTATCTGAATATAATTTTATAACCTCATAATAAATTCTTCTTTAATAACTAGTAGAGGGTCTCTGAGCTCAAACAACAATGAAAAGCGCAAAGCTTTAACTATCTAATACCATCAAATTAAACTTCCGTACTTTTTTTCAGTGCCCCAAAAATATCGTTCCTTTTCACCCTACAAAAGTAGCAGGAGAGCAAAATAAATCATGATTTTTACGTGCATCTTAGTGGGATAAGTGACGTCTTGTAGGTTGCGCAACGCAGTACAAGAAGATCGAAGTCTTCGTTAGTTGAGACTGAAGGCTCACCAGATCTGATTACGGCCTCGGTTAGCTCTGATGTCGCAAAAATAGACTCCTTTATAACAAAGTAGCAACACAGATCGTCAAAATCATAGAAGAATACTAAAATATATAAGTCTCTCATTAGTGCCATAC